TCAATATCAATATGTAATCTAATGCTATAAATGTTATGGGCGTGAAGGTGATAAAGGTCACGGTCAAGTTAGTTATCGCAGATAGAAGGTATCACAGTGGCAATGGCACCATAATATTGAGAGCAAAATAATGTACGCTGCAAAGGTCAGGGAAATAAACAACACCGTCTAAAAGCATTGAACTTGGATGATCGGAAATTGTTTGAGTCTATAATAGACTTCGTGTCCCCGGCCACTGCAAATCGCCCCCTTTTGAAATCTTTTCCGTCTTCGCCACTGAGCTGTTGGAAGTTTAAAAATATGGTATGGTATGGTTTTTTTACCTTACCGCAGTCTGCTGTAGCATAGGCGGAACACTCACCTGGAAAAAAAGAAACAATTAGTCATCTACACACACACATTCTTTTTAAATAAATCAAAGGGCAAAAGTTTCATTTGAGAACTACGTGTCAAAATTTGCGTTTCTTATTTAATTTTATTTTCAAGAACCACAAAAAATGACACAATGAAGCGGTTTGATTTTTGCGATTTTATAATTTTTTCTTCTAAAATTTGTACCCCTAAACCAGAGGTAGCAATGTAAAAAAGTTCCTTTATTTTTCTGAATATGCACTTAAATACTAGAATTTTTGTATACCTACATGATACGTCAAAATGTACAAGAAATAGATCGAAGCTGAACATTGTGGCACTATAAAAAATTTAAAAATTGTTCCAAATTGGGCACTACTACTAAAATTTAAAAAAAACAACAAACGGGGCCAATATTTTGATTCCAAGTGATACGAAAAATTGAAATACATCTTCAGATTTGGATAGTGTGCGTTACCTCGTGTCGTTCCTTGCTCCTTTAACATTTACATATTACTGTAGGATAAATTTTATTACGTGATTCATTTATTTACAATTAATTAACAAAACAGTCGAAATGAATCGACTTCTAACAGTAATATTACCTATCACTCACTAATACACAGTTGATAACAGAGCGAACTGTTTATTACTTCGGCGTCGAAAGTGTAACTGTCTTTAAACACAATTTTATTTGCTTATATAGCAAACTTGGTTGCGAATGTTCTTGACCATTTTATAACAATATAAATTGTAGTAGGGAAAAAACATCATATTTCCCAGAAAGATTGTGTCACATGATGGCTAGTCTTTCAGGGCGCCTCGATGTCTATCGGGATTTCTAGAATATTCGCTACATTATTTTAATAAGGGAATAGCAAATTAGTTATAAAGAAAGGGAAAAGTGAGTTTCACCATAAAGCGAAAACTTTCCATTGATTAATGGACATCTAAATGAGCGGCGCATTTTAAAGACTGCTGCGGGTTGTCCTTTTGAGCTGGCACGGTGGGTTGTTTTAATTAAACCTTCGGATTGTTTACGAAAAAAGGCAATTA